GCCCCCCCGGCCACGAACAGCGCCCGCTTCACGGCGCCCTTGGCCTTCAGCCCGTCCAGGCTCAGCTCCACCGCGAAGCCTGCGGGACAAGAGGGGCCCAGGCGTCCGGGAGGGGCCCAGGCGTCCGGGCGAGGGGCCCCGGTGGCCCCGGTGGCCCCGCACTCACCGATGGCCCCGGGCAGGTGCTTCCCCGACGCGTTGAGGCAGAAGCTCAGGTTGATGCTGAGGGTGACAGGGGACGGGGTGGGTGACAAGGACGTCCCGATGGCCCCGGCGGTCCCCACTGCCACCCCGGGACGCTCTCGGGTCCCCCTTGTGCCACCCGAGACTGTCCCCTCCCTCCCCTCCCTCCCTGGTGTCCCCAGCCCTTCTGCCTCTCCCCTTGGTGTCCCCAACCCCTCTTGCTACCCGCAATGTCCCCTGGGTGTCCCCAACACCCCACACACCCCCCTGGTGTTCCCTGGGTGTCCCCAACCCCTGCGGATCCCCCAGGGCCCCCTCTCCGGTGTCCCCAACCCCTCTGACCACCCTCCACAACAGCCCCTCCGTGTCACCAACCCCGCAGGACCCTCCAGATCTGCCCCTATGTCCCCTGGGTGTCCTCAGCTCTTCAGACCCCCCACACGGTCCCCTGGGTGTCACCACCCCCACAGGCCTCCCCAGTGTCCCCAGCCCCTCCGTAGCCCCCAGGCCCCTTCTGGTGTCCCCTGGATGTCCCCAGCCCCTCAACGACCACAACAGGTGACAACACCCCCCTGTCCCCGCAATGTCCCCAGGCGCTCAGCCCGTGTCCCCAAGGGCTGCCCGCGGTGGCACCCACCAGGGGACAAGGACGCCGGTGTCCTCGAGGGCGCAGCCGCGCTCCTCGGGGTTGAACATGGTGGGGAAGATGCTGAGCGAGGCGCTGGCGTAGACGATGGGGCGGCCCCTGCGGGGACAGCGGCGCTGGCACCGTCCCCGCGCGGTCCCCGTGTCCCCCGGGGTGGCACTCACCTGTACACCACGGCCGTGTCCACGCCGAAGGCGCCCACGATGAGGTCTGCGGGGACAGGGGTGGCATCGCCATGGGGTGCCCGTGGGCATGGCCAGGGATGGGTGACACCAATGAGGGAGCACCCATGGGGTGGGAATGGCCATGGATGGGTGATCCCAACCAAGGAGCACCCATAGGGTGGGAATGGCCATGGATGGGTGACTCCAAGCCAAAGAGCACCCATGGGTCAAGTAAAGTCCAAGCTGGGTGTCCCTATGCCAAGGAGCATCCATGGGGTGGGAATGGCCATGGATGGGTGATCCCAACCAAGGAGCACCCATAGGGTGGGATGGCCATGGATGGGTGACTCCAAGCCAAGGAGGACCCATGGGGTGGGAATGGCCATGGATGGGTGACACCAATCAAAGAGCACACACGGGATAGGAATGGCCACAGATGGGTGACACCAACCAAGGAACACCCATGGGGTGGGAATGGCCATGGATGGGTGACACCAATGAAGGAGCATCCATGGGGTGGGCATGGCCATGGATGGGTGACACTGGCCAAGGAGCACCCAAGGGTTGGGAATGGCCATGGATGGGTGATCCCAACCAAGGAGCACCCATGGGGTGGGAATGGCCATGGATGGGTGATCCCAACCAAGGAGCACCCATGGGGTGGGAATGGCCATGGATGGGTGATCCCAACCAAGGAGCACCCATGGGGTGGGATGGCCATGGATGGGTGACTCCAAGCCAAGGAGGACCCATGGGGTGGGAATGGCCATGGATGGGTGACACCAATGAAGGAGCATCCATGGGGTGGGCATGGCCATGGATGGGTGACACTGGCCAAGGAGCACCCAAGGGTTGGGAATGGCCATGGATGGGTGATCCCAACCAAGGAGCACCCATGGGGTGGGAATGGCCATGGATGGGTGATCCCAACCAAGGAGCACCCATGGGGTGGGAATGGCCATGGATGGGTGATCCCAACCAAGGAGCACCCATAGGGTGGGAATGGCCATGGATGGGTGACACCAGCCAAGGAACACCTTTGGGTTGGGAATGGCCATGGATGGGTGACCCCAATCAAAGAGCACACATTGAGTGGGAATGGCCATGGATGGGTGATCCCAACCAAGGAGCACCCATAGGGTGGGAATGGCCATGGATGGGTGACACCAGCCAAGGAACACCTTTGGGTTGGGAATGGCCATGGATGGGTGACCCCAATCAAAGAGCACACATTGAGTGGGAATGGCCATGGATGGGTGATCCCAACCAAGGAGCACCCATAGGGTGGGAATGGCCATGGATGGGTGACACCAGCCAAGGAACACCTTTGGGTTGGGAATGGCCATGGATGGGTGACCCCAATCAAAGAGCACACATTGAGTGGGAATGGCCATGGATGGGTGATCCCAACCAAGGAGCACCCATGGGGTGGGAATGGCCATGGATGGGTGATCCCAATGAAGGAGCACCCATAGGGTGGGAATGGCCATGGATGAGTGACAGCAGCCAAGGAACACCTTTGGGTTGGGAATGGCCATGGATGGGTGACCCCAATCAAAGAGCACACATTG